AAAATTGAATTGGTATTTAAGTCAAACCAGGATTTTTAGTCTTGACTAGGAAATTTCCAATTTGATTAACTTCTGTAAGAAAAGCTCCTTGGATAGAATGAATAAAACCATGAAGTTTCAAATAGCAACCAGTGAAAACTAAGTGATTTTAAGGAAGCCAAACTTAGAACGGGACTTGAAAAAAGATATAAAATATTGTGGGAAGGATAAAATTTAGGTTTAGGTTTTAATTTCCTAAAAATCCAGAAAACACCCTGGTAAATCATGAAATTAGTTATAACACAGAAATTCAAAAAGTCTCTCTGAGTAAGAGTCAAAAATCCTAGTGCCATGTCTCTGCCTTCCACATGACAAACAAACTCCAATTTCTAGTGTTCCTGGTAATGCTCAGCTTGTTGAAAGGAAAGGGAAAGGGGTAAGAATGAGAGTTATCTCTGTATTCAAAGGGGAAATGAGGTGTCATGTGGAAAAAGTGATGACTTTCTCCATTTAGCCCCAGAAGGCAAACCTAGGGAAAAAAGAAAGTAGAGAAAGGAAAAACAAAATTCTGTGTACAGAAAAACTTATTAACACTTACAAAAGCAGAATGGACTGCCCATGACTAGAGGCCTTCAAGCCAACCTTAGATTGATCACATGCGTGAGATATTGGAGAAAGGATTCCTATTCAGCTGGATGAGGGAGCCTCCCAACTATGAGAACCTGTGGTTCCCTGACCTCAATCACTGCGGCCAAAAAGGAAATAACACAGATGGTGCAAAGAATTAAGAATTCAAAGAAAGCTACCTAGATTAGACTCGAGGATAATTGATCAAGAAACACCCATAAAGATCGCAGGGAAAGATATTTCCTTATACAACGCTGCTTACAATGATCAGGAAACGTCAGGGCGCTCATAGTCTACAACAAAACAGGAAGAACAAAAGCTATCAGTCATTCATTCTGCAGCAGTGAAAGTGTAAAGAGTCAAGCCAATATTCGAACAAAACAGGAATGATAAGGAACCCTCCTCCATTCTGGCATTCAGCACTTCTTTGCTCAGTAATGCTATAGGGTTGCAAATATGATATAAATACAAACTTTATTGCCAACTGTGTTTTTAAAATAACATCACTACCTGCCATAGGGTCTACCGTAATGATAGTGGGCATGGTCAAGAAGCTGCACTTAATGAAGTTATAAAATGGAGGTCTCAGTAACAACTCCCATTCTTTGACACAATCACAGTATCTTGGGGTTAATGGGTCCTTAGAGGCCCTCAACTTTAACCCACGTCCAAATAAGAATCCTTTCTACAACATATCCCACAAGGCATAATCTAGCCAACCTACCAAGGCAGCTCAATTCCACTTATGCACCTAGTTGTTAATATTTTACACTGAGACTAAACGTCAGTCTGCACCTCCCCACCCTGATCCTAGTTCTGCCAAACAGAAATATACAAAATCAATAACTAAGCACTTATTAAGCACCTGTGTGCTAGGCTCCATGCTGGGCAACGGCTATGCAAAGACAAAAAGGAACAGTTCTGCCTTCCAGGATTTACGTTCTACTGAGGGGACAACATATACATACAGAATATACAACAAGTACAAAAAGATTACATAGTAATAGGGTGAGGCATTAGCAACGAGGAGGGTAGGGAAGGCTTTATGCAGAAAGTGCCATCTGAGGGTTTGTTTGCTTTTTTTGGCAATTGGGGTTAAGTGACTTGCCTAGGGTTACACAGCTAGTAAGTGCCAAGTGTTTGGTCTGAGGCTGGATTTGAAATCAATTCCTCCTAACTTCAGGGCTGGTGCTCTATCCACTGCAGCTAAGTTGATTTCTTAAGAAAAGCAGAGGTCCTAAGAGGCAGAGGTGAGAAGGTATGTTCTAGGCACAAGAGACAGCTAAGGATGGGAAGTAAGAGCAGAACGATGGCCAATTTGCCTGGGCCTCAGAGTACCTGAAAGAGACTGATCTCTAATAGGGGTAGAAAAGTGGAAGTTAATAGAACCAGAAGGGATGTAAGAAGCCACTGAAATGAATCTCCTTATTTTACAAATAAGGAAACTAAGGCTGAGATGGGTTAAGCGTCTTGCCAGCTAGTGTTTAAGGCAGGATTTGAACTCAAGTTTTCCTAATGCCAAGCGAAGCACTCTGAGAGACTTTAAATGCCAAACGGAAGAATTTACATTGATCCTAGACATAATAGGGAGCCACGGGAATTTAATGAGTAAGAAAGCGACATGGTTAAACTTGCACTTTTTAGAAAAATCATTTTAGCAGCTTTGGGGAAAAAGAATTGTAGAGGAAAGAGACCTGAGGCAGGGAGACCAATTAGAAGGTGATTGAAATGATCCAGGGGATAAGCGATGAAGGCTTAAAAACTAGGGTTGTATATATGCCTGTGGTGCCAAGAGGATAAGAGTGAGAAATGTGGAGAATACGTGAATCCCTCTTCTACATGTGTTGTTGTTCGGTCATCTTCAGTAGCGTCCAACTGTTTGTGACCCCATTTGGGGTTTTCTTGGCAAATATACTGGAGTGAGTTGCTATTTCCTTCTCCATCTCATTTTACAGATGAAGAAACAGGCAAACACGATTAAGTGACTTGCCCGGGGTCACTGTCTAAGGCCACATTTGAACTCAAGAATATGAGTCTTTCTGACACTAGGCATGGCGCTCTAACCACTGCCCCATGATAGTCCTTCAAATACCTGATGATAGCTATCCTAACTTCTTTAATTTTCCTCTCCTCTACACTCAACACTGCCAATTGCTTCAGCCAATATTAATATGGTGATCTCAAGCCCCTCACCATGCTGACTGTCCCACTCCAAAATGTGGTGCCCACAAAACCACAAAGGGCAAAACTAGGGCAGAGCATAGAGGAAAGCCTAAAATTATATTAGTTTTTTGGCTGCAAAATCATAATCTGACTCTTATGGAACTTGCACGCCATTAATCCTTTTCAAATAAAGTGCAGCCTCGACATGGCTCTCTTGTACTGTATTTGGAGATACCTTTTGAACCAGTGTATAAGACTTTATATTTATCTTCATTCAACTTCATCTTCTTAGATTTGGTTGACTATTCTAGCCAGTCAACATCTTTTGGGATCCTGAATTTGTAATACAAATCTGATACAATGGCTATTCATATCTTTCTCTGCCCTCTTAAGAGCAGGAACTCCTGTCATTGTATTCCTAGCATCTGGCACAAAGCAAGTACTTAATGTCTGACTAGTTCATCCAAGTCATGGACAATAATTGTAAAGAGCACAGAACCAAGTATATATCCCTGGGGCACACTATTAGCCTTCCTCCTAAGCCCAAGGTTTTCGAGCTATGGAGCACAGACCCCCAGAGGATCCACAGATAGATTTCAGGGGATCCTTTAACTTCAATAAGGGGTAAATTATACCTTTATTTTCACTTATCTCTAAATGAAATTTAGTATTTCCTTTAATTATGAATATGAGAAAGGGTCCATAGTCTTCACCAGTCTGCAGAGGTCCATCACACAAAAAAAGGTTAAGAACTCCTTTTCTAGGATAACATAGCACTATTAATAAAGTTTCAGTCCAGTCAATCAATGTTACAAATTCCTCTATTACCGTCTAGCCCGCATTTACCTACCTATAAGACAAGCATGAAAAACTCTGTCATATGCTTTGCTGGTATCTAAGTAAACTACACCCGATTTAACAGGCTAATTAAGGGCCCAGTCTTTAAAAAAAAAAAAAGGAAATGAGGTTAGTTTGATAGGGACTTTTCTAGATTAAACCATCCTGACTTTTTGTCTTTTTGTCATTACCCATTTCTTGAATAATACCTTCTGGAATTCTGCCAGTAAGTCCAATTCACTAGTTTATAATGAGTTGTATTTTCCATTCTCTTCTCTTTTGTGAAAACGGAGACAGTTGTTGTGATCTTTCCTCCAGTCTTTCAAAGATTCACAATAGTGATTTCACAGATTCTTCAGCAGTCACACCTACCAGTTTTCTACCCTGTTTCTACCAGTTTGCAAACTGAACTCATTAAGGGCAGCTAAATACTTTCTCTTTATATCCCTATTATCTTGAATAGCAACTTATTACTCCAAATAGCCATTTTTGTTCTATCCTTTCTAGTCCAATGATCATTCTCCTTGGTAGATAAAACAAAAACAAAATAAAAGTTGAATAGTTTTGCCTTTTATCTGTGGTAAGTTATCAAGTTTCACTTGCCCTGAGCAGCAGCACTATCCATCTTCTAACTGCTTTTCCCCAGTATAACTAAAAACAAAATAAACCTTCATTTTCTTTAGCTTTCCTCATCAACTTTAGTTCATTCTGAACTTTGGTGTTTCTGACATTTCTTACAAGACAATTAGACCACACTTTAGTGTTTATCCTCCCTTGACTGCCCTTCTTCCTATCTTCTGGGTACGACTTTTCAAAATCAAAATTTTTACCTATTTATCTTTATGCTGTTATATAATCTACAGTGCACATGTACATTTAATTTCCTATTATGAACTAGTAATGCCTTCAGTAAAATGTCATTCTGTAAAATAATACATGGCATATTTTAAGGTCAGAATGAATGGGACCACTAACTTTTCCTAAGAATTCAAGATAGATAGTATTAAAAGCACTGAGATGGAATCTAAAGATACTTTATTTTCAACTAACCAATTTATTTCTAGAAGCAGATGAGATCCACTGTAGATTAAATTCTCCAAATAGTATCATAAAGTGGAAAAAGCAATGGGATTTGAATCTGAGGATAGAAACTCAAATTATGTCAAAGGTTCCCTTCCAGCTCTAAATCCTGGAATCTAGAAGTAAGGTGGAAAATGTTTTTCTCATGCCAAGAAAGCCTAGGCAGCATCTCAGCTTGCTACCAACCATGTTATATTAACATGATACAGGTGTAATGCAAATCTTGATTTGCTAAATTGGGAAAAAAGCAATGCTAGGCTGGATTTATCAATCTTCAATAAAGACATGAAGAAATAAGTTTCTTCACTAGTTACCTGTTGGCCTGCATATGAAAAATCCTTTTAGGACCGGGAATGCTGTAACAGGAAAGAGGAGGCACATTAGATTTCACCACAGTAACAAATACAAAGCCGATACCCTTTTTAAATTGCCCTGCCCCTCTCTAACTTAGGGATGGAGCAGATGTCACACCCTTGATTTACAACTTCACAAATTCTCTCTGATTCACAGCTCTGCATTACTGCCAGGTACTACTGCCTCACACTCCTTTCCCGGGAATCCCTCATACAACCTGGCCCAAGTCAGAGGCCCTACTACAGGACACTATGCTGGGGGGTGTCTGCAATGTCTCCTCCCCATTCATGCAGTCTTGCCTCAGGTCCCGCAACTCCCGCTGCGCTGGGGTCCTCGGACAGGTGGATTTCTTTTCCCCGGCCCCAAACCAGACTGCCCAGCCCCCTGCCCTCGCGCCAGTCCCCGGGGCTTCTACCCACGAGCAACCCCTTACATTCCCTTCTTACCCTCCCCCCGCCCCATATCTTCATCCTTCTCTCTCCAGCCCCGGGACCTAGAAGCATGGAAAGCTTTTATTTTGTTTTGCAAATTAAACCGCCCCTCCCTGGCAAGCCCCTCTCCCCCAGCCCCCAGCCCCATAAGTCGGGGATCCCAAAGCGCTTTACCGACGTTCCCAGCTAGGATCAGCCCTTTCGAGCCCCGCTGGTAGCCCTCGGAGATGGAGGCTGGATTCTGTATTTGTCTGGAGAGAGACTGAAGAGAGAAGACAGAAGAGAGACGGGGCGCCGGGTCTACCTGCCGGGGCGCGGGGCGGGTGGGCACGGAGCCACAGCGAGGACAGGACAGCGCTGCCAATGAGCCCGTAAGCCCTACTCAAAAAAGCAGCCGTCCCCCGGCTTTCCCTAAACAGGAAGTGGCAACTTGGGCGGGCCGCGAGGGCGGACGGGGAATGGAGTTCTCGCCGCAGGCTGTCCTCGAACCTCTAGACCCATGTGGACTACAGCCCCCACAAGGCCCCGCGGCAAATCTGAGCTCCTTTTGGAGCGCTAGTCTAAGACTTGCTCCAGAAAAGGAACGTGGGTGGCTCGTCCTCCACGGCCCCCTCCCTACCTTTACCCATCTCCGGGGACAGTCTCGGGGGCCCTCCGGAGGGGCTTTGTAGTCACGAGCAGTAAGGGCTTGTGGGACGCACAGGGACCCCAGCCCGGACTCTTCTGCTGTAGTGGCTGGGCTGCGGTCACATGTCTTTCTCCCTCTCCCCACCAAAACCCCCCCGGGCAGCCGCAGGAGCTGGTTTGCTGATCCAGGGCTTCTTGTCTTGTTTGCGAGATAATTTGTCAGACAAGCAGAATGTGCGCTTTTCTCTTTTCTGGGGTCAGAGCGGACTAGCTCGACAGTAATGTAACTTATCTTTTAACAAAACACCTGATTCCGGCAAATATGTGGAAAGAGCCCTGAGAGTGTACTTAGAAGACATGGGTTCATAGCCGAGACTTTGTTGTTAAGTGACTTGGAACAGTTTATTAACCTCTCTGGACCTCAGTTTGCTCATCCATAAAATGTAGGGTCAGAACAAAATCGAACATTCTTAACTTTTTGTGTGTCATGAGCCCCTTTGGTATACTGGTGAAGCCTGTAGACAGGCTTCAATGTAGACATTGACTCAATATTTTTTAAGCATAAAATACATAGGATTACAAAAAATACCAATTATATTTATTTTCCCTTTTTTTCCCCTTTCCCCCCTTTTTTATTTTCAGTTCCAAATTCTCTTCCTAACCTCTTCCCTTTCCCTGTCCTTTGAGAAGGCAAGGAAAATAAAACTCGTTACTAATCCATAGTCATGCAAAACTAATTTCTGCTCTAGCCATGTTCCCCAAAAAACAGGAAAAAGAAAGAAATAGAATAAAATATGTTTCAGTATGCACTGAGTCTATCAGTATTACCTGTCTCTGGAGGTGAATAGCATGTTCCATTATGAGATCTTCAGAATTGTGTTGGTCATTGTATAAACTTCTCTTGGTTCTCTACTTTGCATCAATTCATACAAGTCTTCCACACAAGAAGAAACCAATTATATTGAAATGCTTTTAATAGAAAAAAATTTTAAAACCAAGTTATCCCCCCACTTCCCATTAACAATTTCTAAAGATGATTTCTGGGGTCTTTTCCAACAGTAGCTGAAAAACTGCTAGTCTATGAAGACTCCCTACCACATTCATTCCTTATGATATGACAAATCCTGAGTTTTTCCAATAACCCCATCCTTATGGCCACCTTCACCTTCCATTCTTGGAAGATGACCTTCCCTTCTACGTTAACTGAGAAGATACCAAGTAATGTGAGAACTCTTTCAACTTCCTTCTCCTTCTTAAGTTCTTTATTTCCTTTTATCTTGTCTCTGAGATAGAAGTGTCCCTTTTTGTTAAAGCTAAGCCAAACAAGCTGTACTCTTAAGTCTCATCCTCTTTGACTTCTCTAAAATGAAACAATTGGATTGTAAATTAGTTAAAGATTAGGTCCTGCAATGGCATGCTGCTACAACACTCCCAAGTGCTGGCAGAACCCAACAATAAAATAGATAATATTAACATGTGATTTCTAAGTCAATATACAGCCCTTGGGGATCCTTAGGTATATTTTAGTGTCCTCTGTTTGTATCTGAGTTTGACACCACTGGATTAGATGATCTCTAACATCCTTCCAGATCTAAAACTATGATCCTGACTGCATGAAAACAAACACATTAATGGACTGTTGGTGCCCACCTATTCTGGAAAGCAATTTGGAACTATGTCCAAAAAGTTACTAAGTTGTGCATACCTTTTGACCCAGCAGTAACCATTATTAGGCTTATACCCCCAAAGAGATCAAAGAAAGAGGAAAAGGACTTACATGTACAAAAATATAGCATTTCTTTTTGTGGTAACATTTGGAAACTAAGGAGGTGCCCTTGGGGCACGAGGAATGGTTAGACAAATTATGGTATATGAATGTAATGGAATACTGCTGTGCTGTAAGAACATGAAGTGGACAGTTTCAGAAAAACTGGAGGACTTATTTGAACTGATACAGAATGAAGTAAAGTAGAACTAGGAAAAGAATTATATAATAATAACAAAGCCCTTTATAACCTAACTTCCCTCTACCTTTCTTTTTACATTTTACCTCTGTCCTCATCCTTCCTTTGCCATCCAGTGACACTGGCCTCCTTGCTGTTCCTCTAACAAAACACTCCATCCCCCATGCCTGGAAGGCTCTACTTCATCTCCGTCTCCTGGCTTCCCTGGCTTCTTTCAAGTCCCAGCTAAAATCCTACCTGCTACAGGAAGCCTTTCCTGATCTTCCTTAATTCTAGTGCCTTACATCTATTTATCCTGTTTATAGCTTATTCATACGTATTGTTGAACCCCTTCCCATTAGACTATAAACTCTTTGAGAGCAGAGACTGTCTTTTTCTGTTTTTGTGTCCCCTATGACTAGCACAATGCTTGGTGAATATTAAGCACTTAAAAATGTTTATTGACTGATGTACAAAAGTGTGTCTAACATAGCACTGCCTTTGGCAGCCATCTCTCTTAATTTGGCAATTAAGTCAAATGTTTGCTGGCTAAGGTGTTTTCTGGGTTCTTTTAGTCTCCTTGTTATAGCAATTAACTTACATTGGTTTAACTTCTATAGGAAATTATTGTAGTCAATGTCAATTTCCCATTTTTGACTTTACTTTTACTTTATGAGTCAATAACTCATTTAATTCAGGGTTAAATCTTAATAGTATACTGTGTCATTTTCTAAGTCAGTGGTCCAACAGTGAGTGCCTAGACAGCTAACTCAAGGATAACTCCCATGTCCATAATGTCTTTTCCTTTTTGTTAAAATGTACTTTTCCTAAATGTTTCTCATCATCCTCACCTTTCCCCACCTTTGCATTGGTATATCAAATATCAGAATGTCTATTAATTTGATTTAGAAGATCTTATCAGTTTCTTCATAGAATTTCTCTGCCACTCAAACAAACACTTATAAAGCACGCCAGTGACTCATTCACTCTTTCATCTGGTTTCTGCTTCTAGTACTCAAATTTTGCTTTCAAGGGTTTTACTAGAGCCCCCTGTTGGTGTCTCCTTTTATTCAGTATAGGACCTTCAGAGCTCTTGAAAGTCATCCGAAGTCTTCTCTGTTTCTGGACACCCAAATATCAGCTACCTGAACCAATTACAGCAACTATTGCAGAGGGAGAAACAGACTAGCAAAGAGGGAAAGAGTCTTCCAAAGACAGAGAAACTACCAGAAAGAAAAGGGCCCTCTTGGCATTGATCAAGCTGTGTTCTGTGGGGAGGAAATGTAAAATGAACAACTCAGTTGCAGATATGCCAATGAGGCTTGTGTGAGGGACTGTAATCATCCTATAATTCTTTATTGCTAAGTATTCCTTTTCTGTGTAGGATTAAAACTATCTTTCTAAGGTTGCTGCTTAGTCCCTGTGGGCGGTGGCCATGGCTGAGGCTGCTGCTTCCCAGGGTCTCTGCATCAATGCCCTACGACGAGCAAATGGATATCAACTGAAAATGGTAATGGAGCAGTGGGAATCAGCAATTTTGCACAGGAAGAATTGGGAGATGTAGTTTAGTATAATCTTCCAGAAGTTGGAACAAAATTGAACAAATAAGATGAGTTTGGAGCTTTGGAAAGTGTGAAAGCTGCCAATGAACTCTATTCTCCACTAACAGGAGAAGTAACTGAAAATAATGTAGCTCTTACAGAAGACCCAGACTTCTCAACAAATCTTGTTATGAAGATGGTTGGCTGATCAAGATGACTCTCAGCAACCCTTCAGAACCGATGAACTAATGAATGAGGATGCATACAAGAGACACATAAAATCTATTGAGGATTGAACACTGGACCTCTGAATAAATTAGTATAAGAATACAGCCCAGTATAGTTTTATTCTAAATTAGTGGTATATGGAAGGTTAGCAACTTTAACACTTCTGAAACAATGCCATGGTATGCAAAAAAATCATAACTACTCAGAAATGACTGGACAAAAATGCTTTTTACTATTCACACCTTTTGCACCACTTTCTCCTAAGTATTTTCAAGTTAATGTCTGTCTTGTTCTGAATTCATTGCTTCATGTGTGGTAAAAATGAATTCTAAGGCCATGTACTTCAAAGCTAGAATTTTATCTGTAAAAAGCCTTAAATCAGTAATGTAATGGCCATTCAACCCCATCCATCACCAGTTTTGTTCAAAATACATTTGGTTTTCTGTCCATGGAAATAATTTACTGAGATTGGTTAACTGGCTGGTATCAGATACAGAACAATACCAACTTAATTTTTGAATTAACTGGTTGGCTGAAGCTATTTTATACAGATGAGGCTTCAACCTTGCAGCAGAATAGGTAATGAAATTTAATAAACTTTTTAAAAACCCTGTTTGATTCATGTTTGCATTCTGAGTGTTGTTTTGTTTTGTTTTTACTGTCCCCACCCTATTCTATATTGAAAAGACCCCTTAGACTAGAACCAAAAATAAAATTGTTCTACAAGAACCTCAGGTGGGGGATTAGGGGGAGGGTGAGTTGAAGCACTGAGGAACCCAGTTCTCCTATTGAGGAAACAGGTGTGGGGGAAATAGGAACCACAATGATGTCACTACATCTTGAGCAACTAACAATGTAAAAATTCCCCCCCAACAACTTCTTGTTGATTTTTTTAGTCATGTCTGACTCTTTGTGACCCTGTTTGGGTTTTTCTTGGCAAAGATACTGGAGTGGTTTGCCATTTCCTTCTCCAGCTCCTTTTATGGATGAGAAACTGAGGCACACAGGGTTAAGTGACTTGCCCAGGGTCACATAGCTGGTAAGTGTCTGAGGCCAATTTGAACTCAGGAAGATTAGTCTTCCTGACTCT